TCTTCCAGTTTATCGCGCGTCTACCTCAATTTGTCACCCCCAAGCCTTTGAAGGTAGAAGGATACAGCGGGAATTCATGGGCGCCAGTGACTTACTGCTCGCAGTGGCATCCCTTTGGTCACCTGTGACTGGATCCTCCCGCCGTTGACTCCAGCGGCGAGGAGACATCGGCCTCGGCCACGATTGATGAAGCCATCGGATAAGTGGGGACGGCATCCCGGCCAAAACGGACGCCGACTCAGAAGGCGCCGGCTCCACAGGCATCAGAGCCCCGACATGTCGATCCGGCGTCACATGAAGTTTTACGAGCTTTGTGTTTCTTTACAGACAAGGCTTTTATTTGTTTAAAAGGAATTTTGTTAAGATACTCCTATAATATCTTGTTGGATTCTGGCATTCTAAACCATTCTCCTGCACAAGTTATTCGGTTCATTCAGAAATGCCCGACCAAACCGTTATAGTCGTCGGCGCAGGCCCCGTCGGCCTCTTCACAGCCTTGATCCTTGCTCAGAAAGGTATCAAGGTGACTGTTATTGAGGCAAGCGAAGGAATCTCCCGCAGCCCGCGAGCCTGCGTGTATGTCTCTAATCCAACCGCTATTCATCCATTCACTGACATAGCATACCAATCGCAGACAGCTCCCTTGCGTCAATCTCGAATTCGCCAAGGCTGGAATCGTCCAAGAAGTGTTAGAGTCCGCTTGTAGAAGCGACCATGGATACTGTTGGCGAGACGGATACGATACAACAAAAGTCCTGGCAGACTTCACGCCGCCACCATCCGAAAACCCCAATCTTTGCGCAGCCATGATAGGGCAAGATGTTTTGGCGCAGATCTTCCTCAAGCATCTAATCAACACGGGAAATGCCGAGGTCATCTTCAACCACGCATTTACTCGTGTTGAAGACCATGGAGATTCAGTTACAGTGTATGCACGGCGTGTACTCGACGACCAAGAGCTCAAGTTTGACTGTCGGTACGTCGTCGGAGCCGACGGCGGTAAGAGTGCGGTTCGAAAGTCCATAGGCCAGTCTCTTGAAGGCTACACCTGGCCAGACATACGGCTTATTGCAGTCAACATCCTCTACGACCTTGAGAAGTTAGGCTGGAAGCATGGCAACTTTATTGTACATCCTGAGGACTGGGCGATCGTTGTAAAACGCGGACCGAAGAATCTGTGGAGGGTTGCAACCAGCGTTCCATTTGCTCAAGGCGCTGATGGAGAGCCTATCACTGATAAGGCTGTCTTTCCCGTCATCAAAGACAGACTTGAAAGGATCTTGCCAGGTAACACTGATGACATCATCTACCTCCAAACAGCTCCGTACACGATTCATCAGCGCTGTGTATCAAAATATCGCGTTGGTAATATCATGCTCGCCGGTGACGCTGCCCACGTAAGTTCTCCCCCAACATTGCATCCTTCGCCGCTAAATACAGTCTAGCTCAACAATCCTGTCGGTGGACTTGGACTGACTACGGGTTTGCTTGATGCCGCTCATCTCGGCAAAGCTTTGACTCAGGTGATAAACGAGAACGCCCCAGAAACAGAACTCGATGAATACGCAACGGCCAGGCGCGACGTCTACAAGAATATCACTGATCCACTATCGACTGCGAATCTGTTGAGAGTCAAGTCCACTGCTCCTGAAGACGTCGCTGCGAGGGAGGCGTTTTTCAAGATGCTGAATGATCCGAATGAGAAGGGCCAAGTGTTTGCTCATATGGCGAAAGAGATGGGGTTGTCGACTACCTTGGATATGAAGGATTTGGGACCAAGACCGCAGCTGTGAGGGTGAGAAGAATAGCTACATAAATCTACTAGAATGGCAGAGAAATTTGGTTCATTCACCGCAAATCGACTTCTCTCTCGATATCCCGATTACCAATGTTGTTTCTAGGATGCCTTCGCATACATAATATACCCGAATAGCCCACCAACGTGCTACGCGATCCGTGAGGTAATCGATAAATAACCGCCAAGAGACTGGTCCCAGCATATGCACTACTCGCGAGGCTCTCGGGACTGCTGCTCAAATGATCACATGCACAAACGCCTCAGTCTAATGTTTCATCATCTGCGTTTCTGTCATCCACTGGAGATCTTACGAGTATGTGTGCTGTCTTTTGATCTTGACCTTGGTCGCCGACTTCGAAGAAACCAATGCATTTCTCTTTGGCCTGATCACACGTAGGGCCCAGTGGTCACTGGAGGCGGGGTGCTAAATGGCCAGTGCGTCTTCCTACCGCGCCTCGACCTACGGTCCCACGGTCAGCGCGAACACCGTCTCCACCATCCCGATGGCCCCCTCTCAACACTACCCCAGATCTCAGTTCGGGTTTTCCGGCTGGGGTAAACCTGGGGAACTCACCAACCATTTCCCCCTATTTGCCCCGGCACCTTAACAGAAGACAGCAATACCCAGCATGCAAACTTCAGCCGCCGGCATTCAAGCACGGATGTGCCCTCCCTGTCACTTACAATATAACAAAGCCTAATCCCACGGCAATTTTCTATTGGAATATCCTTGCATCTCAAGCATTCAGCATCTGAGTCGCATCGCCAACATGGCTTCCCAATCCTCCGTCAGCGTCCCCTTTGAGCGAGATGCTGCTCGGATCCATTCCAAGACGTTGATCTGCCTTTTCGTAAGTCCCTCCGCACCTCTCTTACCTCCAAGCTAACCAATATTCAGGCAGTCAACATGATCTACCTGACACAGATCCTCTCCCTCGTCGGCACAGGCCTTCTGTCAAATACCATGGCCGCAGCCGTTGGCGGCAGTAGCCAGACAGTCTGGTACTCATCATGCATCACGATCCTCACCGTTGTTCTCAACCCGCCAATCGGCCAAGTCGCTGATTACTGGGGCCGCAAAGCCATCCTCGTCGTCATGCAACTCGCTGGCGTCGCAGGCAGCATCGTCGTGTCCCGAGCTCAGACTTCTGGAACTCTCATCGCTGGTTTCGCAATCTTGGGTTCCACTTTCGGAAGTCAGTCGCTCACCGTTGCTGTCATGTCTGAGATTCTTCCTCGGCATTATAGACCTATTGGACAAGCTGTTGGAAGTGTATCGATCGCGCTTGGTGCCATTATTGCTCTGCTTATGGGAGGAGGCCTACTCCGTCACGGCGACAACTCCAACTACCGTATCTTTTGGTACGTGACGGCTGGTTGTTACGCTCTTGCATGTCTTGGCTGCCTCATTGGATACAATCCCCCGCCCCGAGACCTTCAAGTCTCCCTCAATGTCTCGCAAAAGATCAAGAGTCTGGACTGGGTAGGATATACATTGTTCGCCCCAGCCCTCGTTCTTTTCTGCATAGCCCTATCATGGTCTCAAAACCCCTACTCTTGGGATAGCGTCAACATCCTTGCACCCTTTATCATCAGCATCGTCGTCCTGATAATCTTCATCGCGTATGAGTGGAGGTTCAAGAAGGATGGTATGCTTCACCATGAGCTCTGGAGGCACAGAAACTTCGCCATCTCCTTATTTGTCATCTTCATTGAAGGTATCGCTTTCTTCGCCGCCAACTCTTATTTCGTCTTCGAGATCTCTCTCGTATATGATGCCAGTTTCCTTTCCGGTAGTGTCAACTTTGCTATCATGTTCATCACAGCCGCTGCTTTCTCTCCCGTCTTTGGCATGTGGTCAGCTAAGTACAAGACACTTCGGCCACCACTCGTCTTTGGGTCCGTCTTCCTCCTTGCCTTCTTCATTCTACTGGCAACTTCAAAGATTGACACTCCTCGATATGCTTTCTGGATATATCCTATCCTGCCTGGCCTTGCACTTCCTTCCATCGTCCCATTGACTATGGTTTCTGCGCAATTCGCAACAACGCTGGAGCTCATCGCTCTCACATCTGCTCTCATGACTAGTATCCGCAGTCTAGGGGGCTCGATTGGTCTAGCAATCAACAATGCGGTCCTGCACAATGCCTTGGACAAGGAGTTAGCCAAGAAGATTGCAGAGGCAGCCCTCCCACTTGGGCTACCTACTTCGTCTCTGCCTGCACTTATTCAAGGGCTAGCTTCTCAGAACAAACAGGCAGTAGCTGCTGTCCCTGGCCTCACACCTGAAATCGCAAACGCCGCCGTTTTAGGTATGAAGAAGGCGTACTTGATCGCTTTTCGAAACGCATGGATCGTTTCGGCTGCATTTTGCTCTATAATGCTTGTCGGTACGTTCGGCCTACCCATCCATTTCCACTCGGACTCGACTGACCAAAAACTTAAAAGCCTGCTTCTTCATCAAAGAACAAGCATCCGAATTTGATGCTACCATTGATGCACCAGTTGAGATTGATTCCAAGACCCATCTGGAAGTTGATGAGACTGCGCGGCCAGAAACGCAGGAGAAGCAGTTCGAGAGCAGGGCAGAAGTGAGCCACCAGGAGAACAAGAGCTCTTGATTGATCTAAGATATTCAGAACCTCTAGGCTGTCTTGGACGCCGTGGCATGGCTAGGGGAGGAAAGAAAACACAGAACCTCAATCCTAGGTGATAAAAAGACTTAGGTAACTTGGTCTAAGTTTAGGACAAGCTTAGAATAGCTTTTACTGAATTTGTTTTGACAGCCTATGTGAAGGTCTGAAGTTTTCTTACCACCTGAGGCGTGGGTGGCTTTGCACGTTTAGTAGCTTTAGTGCAATACACGCAATACATAGCTTCTGCCAGATTAGTGATCAGGGTCGCCCAGATGTCCTCACTGTAATTAGCTGAAGAGATATTATCAGATTTAATGTTCCAACCGTCTCCAGTCACGCCCATTCCGAGCTCGCAGTTATGACCCTTTTAACTACCGCTATATTGGATCAAGGACAAATTCTGTCAAAACCAACAGTGCATCTCAAGCGCTCGGAATCACCTTCACAGCAAATAAGGTGTTGGCTTTCTGTAAATGATTTCACATGCGTCACCATTACTTCAATAATTCATCTACATGTGCATCATAGCTCATTTGCGTCCTCAAGCATGTCCCGTCCCACCTCTATCACAACTGTAGGTAATTGAGATGCTGATGATCCTCGTCAAGGAAATTGAGAGAAATGCCGCTGTTCCAATCAGGTTGAGTGTCTCCTGGAACGTATCTTGGTAACCCCCTCCCGGCCATATTGGCAAGTTCTGTCATCAAAGTCTCTGCATCTCCTAATTCCGTCGGCTGAAGAAGTTGCTGGAGATCACTGTCACCAGAACTGCTTTCTGCTGATAGGTTCTCAGTCCCCAATTCCTCTACATCGAGCCCTCCAGCTACAGCTGGCTGGTCATCTTTCCTATTATTGGGAACCCGCGAAGGGAAGAATAACGCAAATCGCTTCTCGAATGAGTTGTCCTTGTCGCGGCGCATCAACGAGGCTTTTAGATCTGTCTCTAGTCAGTATTTAAGGATGTAGATCAACAAGCTATATGTACTTATTATAATTGAGGCAAGATTCCACACAGTGGCATACTGCGATAACACAAGGCTGACTAGCTCACTATTATGGTATCCGGTATATGAAGCATCAGTCATATCCTTTGACGGGTACGCTCGGTCCGATAACAGACAGCATGCCAGGAAAGGCTGGCATAGAGGGATGTAGTCCGGATACCAATGATAGAATATGCGAGACAAATGACGAGGCGAACGTAATGTCTCTGGATGTTCAGGCTTGAAGGTGGCCTGTATGGTCGTTCGAGAGCAAGTCAACATGAGATGCATACCAATGATCCAGTTATGCCTTGCCGCATCTCCAGAAGACGTCTCTAACTCAAGAGTCTCCAGGTTAAACCTCTGTGACATGGCAAGTGAAAAGCACGTAATCGCATCAATAAGCTCCTCCTTATCCCGCTGACAAGTGAACCGACCTGCTGCAAATTCACTCGCGACACTCAAGAGAATATTGGCTATGAGAAACCACGCCCGAGGGTCCTGATTCGGGGAGTCGAGAAGGAGTTTCCATACCTCACTGGGTCTTGGGTCGACAACAGGCGACACCACAGGTCTGTCAGCAAACCATGCTTCATCGCTAACCGGAAGTTTGACCATCACCAGTGACCGGGTTATCGAACTTGGCCGTCTAGACATGAGGGAGCCAAAAGTGTCGAGTTCCCAGGTGATCCAAAACGCACGGCGCTGCTCTTCTAGAATTGACCAGTCGCCTGATTCATCCTGCTCGTCCATGCTACACAGGTTTAGGTCGTAGGCCAGTCGAATACAGACGCCTGCCAGAATCCAGGCGCGGTGCGATGGACCCGAAGCGTATTCGTAAGCAGCTAGCAAGATGCAGCCTTGGAGATACTCGAGACTAGGTGCTTGGTCGGATTGGCACTTTTCGTAATATGTATTGGCCTTCTCCATAAATGCTTGTCCACGGTCTGGTGCTGGAATGCCGTGAAACCATGAATTTGTGGAGTGGCGAGCTGCCAAGGCAAACATGCCACAGAGCAGCAATGCCTCAGTGTTGGAGTGGTTTCTGTCATCAAAGGAGCCGTTCTTCATGAACCTGCCGAAGAATCGTGGCCTATGAAGAAGCGGAAGCCATCCCTGGGTTTTGGAGAAAAAGATGTGAACAAGGTCGGTCAATACAGGCACCGGTATGCCTAGCCAGGTAGGTGCGTCGGCTTCTGTTGAGCGGAAAGTCGAAGCCGGAGAGGTTGAATCGTCACCAACGAGGCTCGTGCCCAGTACGATGATTTCTGGCTGTGATTCATCGTTACTGTCGTCTCGCATAGGCTGGTCATGTTCTCTGTCGAGCGAGTTCGGTGTATGGATATCGTTAACTTTCGGAAGCTGCTCTGTTTGCGATAAGAGCATGTCGATGTCTTGACCTTCGCCTAACCTTGACTCAAGCAGGCTGACGAGACGCTCTGATCCACAAATTAGTATTCATCCATGCCCACGGCGGATACCTAGACCGTACCGAGCTTCTGTGAATCAATCTGGCTCTCCTGGCGACGTCGTTGCGGCGTCTTTCGCTTTGTTGGAAATGTGCAGGATTGGCCTGTTCTTGTACACAAACCGCAGTTGGGTTTTCTCATGTCACCTGAGCCTCGTCAGTTCGCACTCGGAATCTGTAAGTCGTAACCTACATCGCGTCTTCTTTCTGTTTGGGGGGGATTAGCTTGCGTCAATCGAGAAGCTGTACGGAAAGGCTCACATACCGTCTGCACTCGAAACAGGCGCGGTGGCCCTTCCACGTCTCAGGTGGAGTCGTACGTTGCGCCTCGTCTTGTGTCATGCTTGGGGCGTATAGAATCTGTGTTCAATGGATGAGTATCGCGATCCAACGTAGAATGGAGTTGAGTTTGGAGGAGGTTGCATGCTCCCCAGATTTGTCGTTTGCGGGGGAATGTGGGCACCCGAAGCTCAATCTACCGATTCTTCCGCTGATTGGCCTTAACCGAGGGCCCTTGTTACGCCATCTTCGTTAGTTCCAGTAGTGGGCCCGGTCAAAGACGGTCTTTTCATGACCGTGGTGAATTACGTGGAGGCTCATTAGACACTTTGCACACAGCTGTATTTATTTCCCCATAAGACGATTGCTCACCATGGCCGATTCGAGTCTAACATGTCCTTTAAACTGTCCAAAATGGCTCCTAGTTCGGAAATTCTCGCCAGCGCTCAGCCAGACCCCGAGTTTCTCGAGGCATGTCCCCTCCCCCACCAAAAGTCCGATACCTTAAGAACAGCGCTAACGATGCCCACTAACAGATCTTAAAGTCCTCCAGCGCTCCGCCGCTTCCGGCCAATATCGACATACCAACTCTTCGAGCCACATCGAACAAGCACAAGAATGAGGCGCGAGACGCACTAGGAGGCCCTCCTCCGAACTTGACCGAGCGAGATATTGAGATACCTGTTCGTGATGGTAGCAGTATTCTTGCCTATGTTTATGCTCCATCAGATGTCGTCCCTGGAGATGAACTTCCTATCTTTTTATTCTTCCACGGTGGCGGCTTCTGTCTGGGCACGCGCCATGATGACATGGAGTCCAACAGAATCTTGGCGGTCAAGGCTGGTATCATCATAGTCTGTCTCGACTACCGTCTTGCTCCAGAACATCCATTCCCTCAGGCCATCCATGATGGGGTTGACGCTTTACAATGGGTATGTAATTATTCTGTGCCACCTGTTGTTGTTAACGGAACTGACTTTCAGTAGATTGCACAAAACCCTACGCAAGTTCACCCCTCTGCGGCCCCTTCAGCAGGCCTCATCATCGGAGGCACTTCCGCCGGAGCCAACATTGCCAACGGCGTGGTATATCTAAACCGCGACCTTGGATCTCCTGCAAAGGTCACTGGACAGTTTCTCGGTGTCGGACCTCTTCTTCCTCCACCATGCGTCCCTGAGAAGTACAAGGACGACTACGTCAGCCATGAGCAGAACAAAGACGTGACTATACCTCCAGAGGAACTCGCTCGCGCATTCGTTGGTAAGAACAACGAGTCATTGTATTAGAGAGAGACTAAGATATTTTCAGCTGCATATAAGCCAGACCCGACGTCGCCGATTGCAGTGCCTGCTGTTCATCCATCAGGACACTCGGGAATTCCTCCCACGTACTTTCAGGTCTGCGGGCTTGACGGTCTGAGGGACGAGAGTATCATTTACGAGCGAATTCTTCAGGAAGACAGCATCTCCACACGGCTGGATTTGTATCCTGGCCTGCCCCATCATTTCTGGGAGTTTTTCCCTCAGCTGAACAAACAGGTCGAAAAGAGAACAAATGATATAGTGGAGGGAATCAAGTGGTTATTGCATGGGTCGAAACTTCAAAAGTTGTGATAATGATCTGCAAGGATGAGAAATAATCTAGTTCTAACATGGAATTTCAGTATAGCTATCACAATTTCTGTTGTAAGATGATAGCCAGAACGGCCGGTATTGAGAATATCCATTATTTCCCGCTGGCCTGTTCGTTTCCATTACTATTCACTTAAACCTCATTGAGTGTCCATTCTGAGAAGTGTCGGCATCCTGGACCAAAAAGTGTGGCTGTGAAACTTGGTGAAGGACGAGTAGTTACTGAACTCCTTTTAGAGGACCGGGAAGCGAGGCTGTACAAGTAAATGCGTACTATACAGAACATGAGGAATGATCAATTATGAAATCACTTGGGCAGGAGCGGAAGAAGATATGTTTAACACAGCACTTTTGGCAATCAAAACTAAAACACTAAAACATCACATAGAGCTATAAACACTACTGTTCGCGAGCACGGTCGTGCATCTCATCTGCAAGCCTCATTCCATCACGCCTTTCTCGGCGTCAACTTCACCTCCAATTTGAACTCAATTGCATTCCCATCCCACTTGCCCGTTTCTCCCACCTTCACAGGCTCGATCTATTCACTAAAGTCAGCCCAAATCCCATCCAGCTCGTCAGAACAACTCACCTCAAAGGCATTAATCAAGCTGGCAATCAACTTCTTCATCTCGATCCTCGCCAAATGCTGTCCCATGCAGACTCTTCTTCCCCAACTGAACCCCATCGCTGAGCGCTCCATGTCGCGATGCTTCTGCTCGTCGGCGCGGACCCAACGCTCGGGGTTGTAGACGCTAGCATCAGGACCGAACATCCGCGTGGAGTTTCTGATGTCATGAGAGGATACCATGACGTCTGTGCCTTCAGGGATGAAGGTGTCGCATATGGTGACGCCTCCAGGCGTGTTGATGGTTCTGGAGTTAACATTGGGGTTGATAGACCATCGGCTAGAGACTGTTAGCTGAAGGTCACCCATCGTTAGCAGGACAGAGTTCACTCACAGTGTCTCCCTTATCACCGCATCCAGATACGGCAGATGCTCCACGTCTTTGAAAGCGATTGCGCCGTTCTCACCTACCGGGAGCTCTGCATCCAGAATCTCCTTCTCCAACTTCCGAAAGAACTCTGAGTTTTTGCTTCCGAGCACCATACTGAGCGCCATCGCAGAAATGATAGCCGTGGTCTCCGGTCCTGCATGAATGGTCGTAATAGTCAGAGCAATCACATCTTTCGGCCTAATCACGTCGGGAGCCGCTTGACTTGCAGCCAAATATCTTCCCAGAAGATCTCTCCCTGTCTCATTCTTTTCCTCTGCACTTCGATCTCGGATCCTTTCCATAGCCAATTGTGCGATGGGAGTCGAAGTCGTTTGTGCCCTCTGCATAAACCAATTCTTCAACAGCAGGGATTCCAATTGCGGCGCCAGCGCCCAGGTTCTCCAGTGTCTGAAACGTCCGGCCGCGCTGGGAAAGATACTGTCTACATCTGCGCCAGCTTGCAAGTAGCCTCGGGTTTTGCTAAAGGCTAGAGAGGTCAAGGTATCGAATGACCAGAAGCCCAGCCATTCGCGCAGCGGGATGACGATGCCTGCGGGTCTTTTGTGAAGCTGAGTCAGGAGTGCACTGATCGTTCCGTCCATCTGGTCTTCTTGCTTGAGCCACTGGGTCTGTGAGAAGCCTCCACCGACGTGCCGCTTTATACCCGTGACGCGTTTCTCATCACGAACGGTGATGATACTGTGCACTGTGTCGCCCTTGGCCAGGGCCTCCATAGGACGGTAGGAGTCCGACTGCAGCACAGGATCAGCATCATACTCGAGTTAGAGGTCATTGCAAGGGTGAAATTACTTTTGGGTAAATCAGGGAAGTACCATAAATCTCTGGAATTGCATCCGGATCGGCAAATGAAACTCGGTTAGGACCTGCTCGCACAACAGGACCATACTTGGCGTGCCATTCTTCGAGCATGTCCTGATAGTATTTGCCTCGCCATACCCTTATCGCTGCCCACAAATCTGTGCAGGATGCGAGGAAAGGTCCAGGTATATGCCGCAGTGTCCAGTAGCGTCGGAACAGTGTTACAAAAAGCGACAGAACGAGTACGGTGCTCGCAACAATTGCGACGGTCACCGGGGAGGTGCTGGAAAGATACGTCATGTTCAACGGGTTGAATTATTCCATTGATAAGAGGCTGAGAAGAAAATGAGGGTAAACTTGTGCGTGGATGAGGAATTGAAGTGTAGGACAATGGGACTTTATGTGTCTCGTCACAGAGGGTCCATCCTTTTCAGTTATTGTGTTAAAGCTGATCTTGTCAAAGCCTGATGATTGCCGTGCTGCTTTGCCGCCTACTAACGTTATTCGAGAGTGAAGAGATCGTCAAAAAGGGCGGATCATCACACGGATATCACTTTGTTCAAAGTCAGCTACTAGACATGTCGGACGGATTTGACTGTAGGCGAAATAGAGAGGTCGGTGAAAGTATCGCCGATGTGCCGTGCGCAACCAGGCAGGATACAGCGAATTTCGTATCGAGAGGACCCCCTACCCCCACACTTTCCCCGCATTTTTCATTCGAATCCAGAATTGTCATCGAGATGGATTCTATTATATCAAGCTAGGCCAATGACGACATCGCCAACAAAGTGGCAGAGGAAACGGACTTGATGAAATCGGATTTCAACTCTGGCCGTCCCGGAACGGCGCTAATTATGGCACACTTTACTATGACCCAATGAGATGTGAATCTGGCCAACACCAACATGCCTCGGCTGATGCCCACATTCTGTAAGCGTTGGTCAGCAATTGTCAGTATGTGTAAGACGCTACTGGCGGCTCTCGTAAGATCTCAAACCTCATTACAATGCAATATCGGCGAAACCTCGCTACATCCAACAGGGAGCGGCCGCTGTTGTCATGCACACATTACCTAACCAGATGACAATGTCTACCTTGAAATATCTCAGGACTCATTCACTGCGAACCCAGTGTTGAATCACGGATCATTGCAATCATGGCAGTGACGAACCGCCGGAAGGCACGCGACAGCAGCGATGTCGAAGCCAGACCTAGCTCAGAGCCTTCAGGTCCTCATTATCGAAGGTACAGCCAACCTTTCGCTGGAAGACTAGGTGCCAATCAAGCGTACGTTGTCGAAGGAGGAACTTCCGAAGACGACCATTTACTGCATCATGCACCAGATGCGACGCCGCACATGTCTTTCCGGGAGTTGATGGACATGCGTCCGATTAAAAATCTGGATTTGTGGAAAGCGGCGCTTATTGAAGGAATTGGTACCATACTTCATCGATCAGCCTCAAGTTTCTCAACTGACCCGCAGCAGGCACTTTGCTGTTCGTGTACATCACGATATGGGTGAACATTTCACCGGATACTGCTCCAGCAGCCCCGACACAACGATTTGGGAGCTTTGACAATGCTGCTTTCCTGGGGCCTCTCATTGGCGGTATAACGAACCTGATCTTCATAACGCTCTTCATCACATCGTTCGGTGCGATTTCCGGTGCTCATTTCAACCCTCTCATTACCTTTGCGACTTTCTGCGCTCGATTATGTTCACTGCCACGTTTGATACTCTACGTCGCAGCTCAGATCGGCGGCGGGGCCCTGGCTGGCTTATTAGTCAGGGCAAGTTGGGGAGGTCGAGACTTCAAAGTCGGCGGATGCTGGCTCTTGACGGATATCGTCCCGCCAAAGGAGATATTTGTCGTCGAGCTAGTATCAGCTACCCTTCTCCTGTTCCTCGCTTTTGGAGTTGGTCTGGACCCTCGACAAGCCAAGATCATTGGCCCAGCGCTGGGACCTTTCATGGTGGGATTGAGTGTCGGGACCATGAGCTTTGCCAGTGCTTTCGCGCGATATGGATATGGCGGTGCAGGGCTAAATCCCGCGAGATGTATGGGCGCCTTTGTCGGAAGTCGTTTTCCGACCTGGCATTGGATACATTGGGTTGCTGATGGAATTGCTTGTCTGGCCCATGGGGTATGTTATTACTTTATCCCGCCGTGGACGGAAGTGAGGCAGTAAAAGTTAGAAAACCAATCACTTTGTTACTTCAAATAGAAAACTATCATTCAAGGCTACTTGCTATTGCACAACATGCTCAAACTCCACTAACTCCTTCTTGCACCGTTGCCAATCATTTGGCATTGACATCCACCAGAATCTTAACTTGGTTGTCCTTATCTGTGATCAACGCATTGATACCATCCTCAACAATATTCTCCATCTTGATTTTTCTGGTGATCATCTGGTGAGGCTTGATTGCCCCAGAAGCGAGATTATCAATGACCGCTTGGAAGTCCTCCCGTTGGTATCCCAGAACAGATTTGTAGGCACTCTCCTTAAAAGTCAACCAATTAGGGTTGAACGGGATCTCCTTCTCCCAGATTGCGATGTTTACAACAGTGCCTCTTGTTCTCACAACCTCGAAAGCACCCTTGACACTAATAACTGTTAGTATGTTCACAGAGTTTAGCGTAAGAAAACTCACCTCGCCGGTACACCGGCGCAATCGAAAACAACATCAGCACCCAAACCACCAGTCAAGCCAAGAGCGATCTCTTTGAGGTCCTCTTTGATTGGGTTCACAACCGTGGTTGCACCGAACTGCCTTGCAAACTCTTGTCTCGACGAAGCAACTTCAGAGACAATGATCTCACTAACCCCCTTGGCCTTCAAGCACAAAATCATCGCCAAACCAATTGGTCCACCGCCCAAAATTGCAACCTTGGAATTTTCGTTGATCTCAGGTGCTGCAGACATGGCATGCCAAGCTACAGAAAGTGGCTCCACAAGTGCTCCGATCTCGAGGGGTAGATCTTTTGGCAGCGCAAAGACGTGCGTTGCATTCACACAGACTGACTCGGAAAGACCGCCACCGCCACCGGAGAGTCCGAGGAAACCGCCGGTATGGCAGACGTTCTCTGCGCTGGTGTGGCATGCTGCGCAGTGGCCGCAGAAGAGGGTTGGTTGGATTGCGCAGGGCTGACCTACTTCGAAGCCGGTTACGCCGGGCCCAACTTCGGAGATGATTCCTGAGAATTCATGGCCGAGTGTCACGGGGATACTTTCTGATGTGAGAGGGTGAGGCTTGGTTGGGCAGAAGTTGGGTCCTCCGAGATATTCGTGTAGATCTGGTACCTGTCAGCATGTGGCCGGGCCTTAGCTCTTGCTTCTTACCTGTGCCGCAAATGCCAACAAACTTAGGGGAAACCTGTCTTTATTAGTATCTACATTCAAGCGTATTGTGGAAGGTATTTACCTTTACTTGTCCCGGCTGCACTGTAGGCTCAGGGACCTGCTCGACACGAATGTCCTTGATGCCGTAATACCTAGCAGCTCTCATGGTGCCGTAGAAAGACCGATGTATGTTCCTGGATACAGGCCCACGGAATTGTTGATTCAAAAGTTTTGTAAATGTAGCAGTCGGTAGTCTCATAATCTTCCAATTTCTCTTTTCCTCTGGTCAAGAGATGGCGATCAGCAGGCTCTTTATATAACTCCCAGGTTCAAGGTCACGTACGATCAAGTCAGTTCAGTGCCCCACCATCCGACATGGGGGATCCGCATCACGAGTTCCGCAATGCAGCCGCAAGCACAGAATCTCACTCTTCATGCATCAAAATACTTCGTTTTAATTCGTGTGTTTTGCTTAATGTAACTGCCTAGAGAGTTCAAATGCGGGGGAAACGGATGATCTTACTTGTTTCGTCTTCCTTTGACCCTTTCCCCGGATTTGAGAGAGTCTGAATCTGGTCAAGCGGGGCCTGAGCCGATTCCAATTGTCGGAGCCGATCGTGCGCTAACTTGTCAACGTAGAAGGAGGAAGACGGCAGATTGTGGATGCGGATGAGATGGGAATGCCATGTCGATAATTCGCTCTCTTGAGGATGATCGTTTGGTCAAGAAAGGGCAATAGGACAACCATGGCGCGGCACAGTATCTGTGTCCCATCTCTTTGGTGCGTCGCGTTGATGGGCAGTTCGACGTCTCATGTCTTTCACGGGAGACGCGTCGCGCATCACACAGAGTTTCCCAAGATCTCGGAAATACAGAGCGACGATGTTAGAGATACTGGAGTTTACTTGCGGCTCTTTCTAGAAATGGGTTTCCGCAAGAAAGCCGATCTCGCACCCAAAAATGGGGATATGGCTCGTTTCCGCCTCGCTACGTCTTGGCCGCGGTGGAGTCTCCTGTCAAATTGTGTGTATGACTGTGCAGTGGTGTGACGCGGGACCCATCAATATCTCGTTATCGAGCTGTCAGATAACGGTCTTTGATAAGCGATTGACATCAGGATATGATCTTCAAATGAGGCTGATCTTGTCGCTCGTCTGACCAATTGTTGTGCATGAACTTAGAAGCAATTCTGAGTGTCAGATGAAACTGTAACAGCGTCGATAGAACCCCTTTATAGATAGAAGTGAGCTTAGCACAAAGGCCAAAAACATAGTCGTTTCGTAAATGTAGTTGATTGACTTTTTGTCCAGATCAACAAGCAATGCGTCGTTGAGTTGTTGACGAAAGTTCTTAGCCAGCGTAACAAACGTCATGTTCCACCGACTCATGCTTCCAGCGAATACTCAACACATCGGCAGTAGCTGATACAATTGGTTCGAGGTGAATTCCAGAGCACGATACGTGATGATCTCATCGATTTAATAGATATGAAAACGTTTCGTAACCTGATGATTGATGTATGCGTGTTAAAACTGAACATACAGTACTCTTGACAGCGCCCCTACCCTGCACCAGGTCGATTGGTCGAAGGTCTTGGAGGGCGACTCCAACTCACTCCATCTGTTGGAGTAGCTCCACTTCTAAGATAAGATACCGCCGATAACGATAATGTTGGAGCTTAGCGCCCCCTTGTCTGGTATCCATCTCGGTCGGCACCTATGCTACTGTAACTGTGAGATAAGAACTACGCCGGTATAGACACGTAAAGAGTCCCCCCAATTCGATCTGGTATCATTCCGAACCGCTGTCAACAAGTTCTCACATTGCCATGTCGATCTTCAATGGCGTCGCGCTCGTGACTGGGGCTGCCTCAGGTAAGAACCTTGTGACCTCGCCGGCCTTTGCAATTCGGCTAACAACATGCAAGGTATTGGACGTGAGACAGCTCTATCCTTTGCACGGGAGGGATGTAAGAAAATCGTTATAGTCGACCGCGATGCCGAAAAACTCGGCGATACAGAAGCCACCATTAAAGAAACCTTCCAGGATGTTCAGGTCCTGGCGGTACCAACAGACATTTCCAAAGAGGCAGATATCGAGAACCTCTACAGTGAAACCATCAAAAAATTTGGCAGAGTAGACTATGTTGTCAATGGTGCTGGTAAGAGCTGTGCCGATGTTGAACATTGGCTTGTTAATGACTGATCGTATCATAGGCGTGTTGAGTAATAACAAGAGGTCTCATGAGTCTTCAATTGAAGAGTTTGATATGATCAACAATGTCAACTATCGGGGATGTTGGCTATCATCTCGCGCTGCCATTAAATGTATGCTCAAGCAAGACCCTCTGCCTACTCATGACGGAAGACCTGGAGTTCGAGGAAGCATCGTCAACATTGCCTCGCAACTGGGAGTGGTTGGCCGTCCAGCAGCACGTAAGTGTCGATATAAGCTTCGGATCTGAACCCATAATTAACAATTGTCAACTACAGCGGCATATTGTGGGAGCAAAGCAGCTGTGATCAGCATGACAAGATGCGATGCCATAGATGTATGCGTCTCGCTAACACCGGACTTGGTAACATTACTGACTTGCATAGTACTCCAAGGATCTCATCCGTGTCAACGCCGTTTGTCCTGGTCTCATCGATACAGCGATGACCCGGCCTCAAGCTGATGTCTTGAGTCCTGCCATCAACATCGCTCCGATGGGACGCATGGGCAGCCCGCAGGAAGTTGCTGATTGCATATTGTTTCTTGCTAGTAGCAAAGCCAGTTTTGTTCAAGGAGCTGCGATGATGGTTGACGGTGGATATGTCATCAATTAGTCGTAGCTGTCGCTGTAATGGAGTTCTCTTCCACTGAGGTTCAATCATATAGCTCAACAGTGCAGAAGTATTCAACCAATCAGAAATCGTACGGGCGAATGGTTTAGTGGTATAATACTCCCTTAGCATGATTCATCAGAATAATCTGGGAGTGGTCCAGGGTTCGATTCCCTGTTCGTCCAACTTCGGTGGTTAGATTCCACTTGTACCATCTTTTTGACCTTTGTTGCTGCGGTCCAATCAACCTTTTTGCACGTTCAAGTTGGCAATTTCTGTGAGCTGCTGGATGCTAGATGAATGAATGGCTTCGCAGCTGAAAGTAGATACCTGATGTATTGGCCTCCAACCCCATTTTAGTCGCAGCGACCCCATTCATCTCCACTACCGTCGTCATGATGTTGCAGTCCACCAATCATCGTTACCAATTCTTCGTTGGCATTGACGAGATGGGTCGGGATAGTACCAGTGAAACCTCATAACGTCGTTTGAGACGTGATTTCAAATCATCTCCACCAGCAGTAGCTTCTAGACTTCGTGTTCCCTCCAACAAGTATATAAGATCGTCCCCAGCACCCTGCCAACCAGGCATATCAACGAACCGCTCTATCTAAGAAGGTCGTATTCTCAAAACTCAACAATCAATATCCAACATGTCTTCTATCAAGCCCCTCATTCTCCACGCTCATACCACCGGCCCCAACCCCTTCAAGGTCGCCATCCTCCTTGAGGCCCTTAACATTCCATATACCGTCAAGCTCTGGCAGTTTGGAGATGCACCCAATGGCGTCAAGGGTGGGCGCTTCCTCAAGATCAACCCCAATGGCCGCGTTCCGGCCTTGGAAGATCCCAACACCAACGTCACCAGCTGGGAAAGCCTGGCCTGCATAAACTACATCCTCCGCGTCTACGACACTGAGAACAAGTTCGGCGCACGACAGGAAGCAGGCGAGCAAGGACGAGCTGATGTCGACGCATGGACCAGCTTCCTTGTCAGCACTCTGGGACCATTCCTTGGTCAGTGCAATTGGTTCCGTCATTACAACAACGTCAAGAATGAGAACGCATATGAGAGATATCAAGCCCAGGCATACCGATGCTTTGGAGTTTTGGAGGAGCAGCTGAAGAAACACGGAGGAAACTGGATCTTGGCTGGGGATAAGCCGAATGTCGTCGACTTTCATTTTGAGCCTTGGTTGAGACAGTACGAGTATGCTGGTTTGAGCTTGAATGATTATCCCAAGGTGAAGGCTTGGTTGGACCGCGTTCAGGCGTTGCCTGAGGTGAAGCAAGCATATGAGAAGATCAAGGCTGGGGAGGAGGTCTAGACCCACAAAGAAGCATAAATCGATGTAAAGGGGACTTAGATTCTTCGAAATAAAAACTCAATCATCTCTAGCTATCTTTCGGAAAACCTTCGTCGTGCGGAACGCATATGCTAGGAATTGCTTCATGATACTGGACTTGAAAATGAGAGTACCCATCAGTCAAAGGACTGGAAGGGAAATGCTTGGTTGATACGTATTAGGAAGCGGGATTCACTCGCTGTCTCGCGACGACCGCGTATATGGACTCATCCTCCCCGTTCAAGTTGTCATAAGCAAATAGAAACATTCAGCCACATGTCTCAGCCGCAAATTGCCCATCTGACAAACACTTCCAATCGGCAAAGCCTCGATAATGACCTTCCTGAAGTTGATCTAAGCCATTTATTGCCTCGAGTCATTTCCCTGGAGCATTTGCCCCTGGCGCTCCAGAATTTTCAGTAGCGCAAGTTTCTGGTTGCGTGTGCGTCCGTCAGCCACTGGAACCTGTTTCCTATCTCAGAAGGTGGTTGGTTGGCGCTTCTAGCTGAAAAGAGATGATGGCTTGCAAGCTCAGGGGGCCTTGGGGCTGATCAAAAAGGTTCTAACTACATTGAGATTGGGGCGTCTTTCAATCCATGGCCTTCTTCATCTGTACATGTACAGAGAGGCAAAGCCACGTCCGGATTTGCAGAAGCGGTACAGCAGGTTCAGTAGGCATGTATGTGCTGATCAATGTCGTCTCTTACTGCTGTTCCGGCCAGTTGTGCATAGCAGTTCAAGCGCGCGACACTTGCGGTTTCTCTCACCACAAATCTCACATGCTGTTTCAAGAATCCATGCTTATTTCCCTGGCATTGGCGCCAAGTCGATCCGTCAGGATCAGCAAGCGGGCCGACATCTACGGTCCCACTCGGACATAATGTTTTGGTGTGTAATGTTATCAATCTGTTGTACATCTTACAAACAGACTCTTCTCAGGGCTTTTGACAAGATCACAGGCACCAATTGCCAAATTTACCATCAGTTTAGTGCAATGCTTTGACAGGTATGCAGCCGAGGTCTATTTGAGAGGGAACTTTCCTGTCGAATGCTGTTATCGGATCACTCTGAGCATGTGCCAACGACGCCAAAGCAGCGCTCAGACATGTACAACCCCATCGAGAATAGTGCAAAGCTCTAGCTGAGCCAAGCTTTGAACTCTAAAGTCTAGTGGTTGGTTTCAGCGAGACGTTTAAAGCTAAATGCGCTGCCATCCGCCAGCGGCATTTTCCTTCTTCAGTTACCCATGTCCCCTTCTTGTCGCATCTCTGTTCGGCGGTAGAACCAAGGCTGTGGCCGCCAGCCAAGCATCAATGAATATCAATACTTCTATTGTATGTTTGTAAAATACATACTGCTCAGATTCCCTGGGTCTTTCTTTGGTACTAACTGGACTGCGTAGGCTATACAAGCAGTATTGCTTGCTTTGGCATTAGTTGTTCTTGTTCTACGATCCTGGGCGCATTACCTCCTCAAGCAGAACCTCCTTAACCTATCGGATATCTTTGCATGGCTGGGATGGATCTTCAGCTTGGGATGGTTTATCTGCTCGACTCTCGCGCTCCTAATTCTCATCGATAACCCTGCGATCGGATCCGAGCTGGTAGTCAATAATGTGGAGTATTTGAAGGTGTGACGCACAGCCGCTGCGAAGGAGAAACGACAATGCTGATCAACTATGTCTAGACCGTGTTAGTGGCCGAGTACTTCTTCGACACGGGGATCTACTTTCCCAAGATATCCATTGTTCTCTTCTACTGGACGTTGATTCCCAGGGTTCTGGAAACCTTGAGAAAAGTATTACTGGGAATCTCGATTTATCTCGGTTGCGCTCTGCTTGCGTCGGTCCTCACGAATACTCTCATATGCTTGCCTTTCTACGATAACTGGTACGCTTGACGACATGATTTGCCGAACTTTTCGAACTGACAGGCGTCAAACAGGTCCATCGAAAACCAACTCAAGTCAGCTTGGAATTCGTACCCTTCCTTCTGCATTCAGTGGGCTCTCAACTTTTCCACCGATTTGCTGAGTAGGTCCCGAAAGCCTTACTACTTCTTTTAATATCTAACATGGTCCCAGTATTCGTCTATCCATTCTTTTTACTTAAGCACTTGAGATTGCGCAAGGAACAAAAAATCGGCCTCATTGGCGTCTTTTCCTTGGGAACCATCACATTGATAGTCAGCCTTTCACGATTCATCGCCTACAATGTTACCAACTTTGAGCTCGAGGACGAATCCGGCAGTACGTTTCATTCCTAAAGCCCTCTTTCAAATGCATAAACTGACACAGTGTAGACACATTAACCCTCGCCGAAATGAGCACCGCCGTCATCGTCGTTTGCCTCCCTGGCCTCCGAACATTCATCGTGCGATCGAAAAAGTCAACAAACCGCTCGTCTTCACACCAGCTGAGCGGCTATGGCAACCACACAAGGATTGGAGTAGGACAAACATCCAAGACTGGCGGACATAAAGGACAAGCGCCACCATCTTCGTATGCAAAATGGGGCGTGAGAGATGATGAGATCGAGTTGGTAACTCATATACGCGTTTCCCACGAACTGGCAAATCCGGATACTTGCAGTGCGAGCGAGCAAAGTGCGGCCAGTCGGAATTTGGGACTATGATATTCACAATAGAGCCTGGCGTTGGAGGAACTAGATACATGATTTATGAAATAAGGAATATTTGGATTCGACAGCATATATGTACATGCTATTACACTGGGCGCTTTATATACGATGGCAGTTACATATTGGATAGACGAAGATAGTATGATATCATTTTGGATTTCTTTCCGCCACCGTGTCAGACAGAAGATAGGTTCCAGTGGCTGACTCAGAAGCGATGGCTTGCAAAAGGGAGGTATGGAGTGAATAAGCTTGAACTCGAATACTATACTAGGCTTGAGTTACAATAATCTACCTATCATTGTTCTCACAGCTGAAGGCTCCTCCAATAAGTCCCTGTGAATAAGCATCGATGATGTTCTGGATAACACCATAGGTTCCACCAATAGTCAAGAAAACGGACAACGCAATCATCAGCCAGTTGAGATAGTAAACGATAACCTGCCACAACTTTCCCTTTCGGTAATGCTGGTGGTCATACACCCAAAGATATCCAGGCAAGCCCAGTGCGAGAGGTGAAAAGGTGAGGCTTCCAGCGAGAGCCAGGAGGTAGTTGAAGATAGGGATTCCAGAGGCGAGGAGGAACGAAACAGCCGACATGGCAGTCGTGCATCCCAGCCAGACTGCCCAGTGAACCACAGTGTTCTTCTGGAAGTGCTCTGAGTGTCGAAGAAGTCGAACGAAGAGGTACTTGGCTGCGACATGGACATACAGACAGGCGCTGACAAGGAGACCAGTCAGGCCAATACCATAAGCGACCTTCTTGATGGTTGGGCCTGCACTTCCCAGCGATGGAGAAGCAACCCATTGTCCACAATACTTGTAGACAACAAGCGAGAAAGTGAGGTATGATGCAGTAACGATACCCATGCAGAGGTAGACAGCCTTATTGTAGTCTCGAGGTCGGCGCATCTCAGAGATGACTGGCAGGAAGGCGGACGTTCCAGCACCACTGCAGAAGATTGTAGAGACTGATGTGATGGCTGCAACGAAAGTGGGATGGCCGATGACATGGTAGCCGAAGTCGTAGTCTCCAGTTTGAGGAGCGGCAGCAGGTCGATCGAGGGTTGTAACGCCGACGCTAGAGTTATGTTAGCAAAGGAAAGGTGTATAAGATGGACGGGACTTACACAACGATGAAAACAGCAACATAGACTGTCAAGAAACCAGCCCAAGTGAGCCAAGCAATGTTCTCAAACTTGCGGACACTTGCAAGGATGAGAACAGCAATTGTCGCCACCAGCATGAACCAATTGGTACAGATAGCGTGATTGCTAAGGACATTGAGTGCCACTGAAGTACCAAAGATACCTGAAGCACCAACAATGGCGTATGTGACGAGGAACAGGACTCCAACGACCTCTGAGACAGTAACTATTAGCCTTTGTGCATATGGTACTTTCAGGTTGTCTTACCCTTCAGCCAAGTACCGCCAACTACATTCGCCATATCAGCGATGCTGTGACAACCAGCATGTCTGTTCCGGAAGTTTCCTTGGACAATGGCACAGTATGTGTTGAGGCCTTGCCACCCGAGGACGTTGATCGCACCAGGGAGAGCACCGAGGACGTACATAGCGCTCGGAATTGTAAGGACACCAGTTGCGAAAATGACTAGAATAGTTAGCTTAAGCTTCAAAGACATGTATGTTACAATAACTTACCCTTCAGGAAGATGACAGAGGCCTGAATCCACCCAACAGTGCGGAAGTCAACCTTGCCAGGAATTTTCTGAAAGACCTCTCCATCATCAACACCCTCTTGTCTTCCAAGCTCAATGCTTCCATTGCTGAGCATACCACCAGCCTGCTTCTCGCCTTTCTCACCTTCAGAAGAACTCATATTGGTCGAAGTAATGTTTATGAAAGATGATGAAGAAAAACAAGATGGATTGATGCAGGACTCGAAACGGTGGGATCGACCTGTCTATTATCACTTGTCGATCAACACCGGCAGTCCTCGCCAAGCTCAACTTTATCAAGAACCCAGCAATATCTCGGTGGATGCTTCATCAAAGTCCAATGATAAGGTCTGGGGTAGAGAGAACAGCCCCTGTAAAACTCTGGGGAAGATCCTGACTCGTAGAGTGATAAGAGAGTTGGAGCATAGCGTTGGAGTTGGAGACTAGCGTGGGATTAGTTCTGGGGTGAATGATACCCCATGATAAGTTGGATGACGATAAGCGTCGTTACCCCTCTTGGTTATCGGTATTGGTGTAATCTTTGGGTTGGAGACGCGGGGAGACTGCCGCATGCGTGATTCTTGGGGGTCTAGATTCTAGAATCTTGACGTATTTCTAGGGAGAGCTATCTGAGCTGCTTGACTTCCTGGAGATTGTTCACATAATTATTGCACTGCATATCGTGTCCCAGTCCTCAATTGATCCCCACTCCTTTCCATTGTCACCAAAGCAAACGCCACTATGCCTAAGCGTATTTTGTGCTCGTATGGAGTCGATGTTGATGCCGTTGCTGGCTGGCTCGGCTCCTATGGAGGTGAAGACTCACCCAGCGATATCTCCCGTGGCCTGTTTGCAGGAACACATGGGACTCGTCGAATGCTCAAGTTGTTCGACAAGTACAACATCAAGGCGACATGGTTCATCCCTGGCCACAGTCTTGAGACTTTCCCCGAAGAATGCGCCATGGTCCGTGATGCAGGCCATGAAATAGGGCTCCACGGTTCGTGATGTGACCATCTCACATTGACCCCTGTAACTAACGATCGTACGATAGGCTACTCTCACGAGAACCCTTCCGACATGACACTAGAGCAACAGCGGGATGTCTTGGAAAAGACTCACAAGATGCTCACAGAGTTCTGCGGCAAACCTCCCCGCGGAAGTGTCGCTCCTTGGTGGGAGACTAGCAAGGAGGGCGTTGATCTGATGCTGAGCTATGGCATTGAGTATGATCACTCAATGTCTCATGATGATTGTCATATGTATTGGCTACGAACTAATGATAGCTGGACCAAAATTGACTACAAGCAAAAGGCCGAGACTTGGATGAAACCATTAGTCAAGGGACAGGATACAGGGCTTGTTGAGATTCCAGCAAACTGGTATCTAGATGAGGTGAGTTTTGGAAACAATTGGTTCAAGATCAAGTACTAACACTTATGGTAGTATGTCCACTACGCTTGCGACAATGATGCCGAGAATAACCTGACACCGTGATAGCCTCCCCCCCATGATGTTCATCAAAGACGCCCCCAATAGTCACGGCTGGGTCAACTCTCGTGATGTCGAAGACCTGTGGCGAGACCACTTTGACTACTTCTACCGTGAATACGCCGATGATCCCGATGAGATCTGCGTGTTCCCCCTCACAGTCCATCCGGATGTTTCCGGCCGGCCGCATGCTCTGCTGATGCACGAAAGGTGAGCGCTGTAGCCAACAGAGACTGTGCAAGGACTAACGAAGAACAGATTGATCGAGTATATCAACAAGCATGAAGGTGTTGAGTGGGTGACGATGGAGCAGATGTGCGATGAGTTCAAAAAGAAGAATAAGCCACCAAAGGGAGCTGTTATGCCCAAGACTCAGGAACAGAAGTAGGGTATCATTGGCAGTAACAAACAAAGCGCTTCCACAATCTGTGATCATACCTCAAGAGAAAGATCAACCGAGGTACTTGTGAATAAGAATCTCCCTGTACTTTTCCAGCCCGATACCAATGATGTTGATGAAAGGCCATTGCGTATTACTCTTGAAGAAATGTGCCCATATCTTTAGAACTGCCAGGCATAAGTTACTAGGATGTCGGAAGTCGAGAAGAGTTGGATGATCCGTGTCTACACCTTGATCGAAATCGACGACCGTGTATGCCTCCTCGACGATGCATCTCACCCAGTGTAAGATCCTGTCTTCGCTATCTGGAGACCATGTTAGCATCGAAAGTCGTGTGTCCCATCACAAGCAGAGACTTACCACTCAGTGGATGGTCGGTGATTGTTTCTCCAAGCTTCGATAGCCACTTGCTCAACAACACTGCGCAGTCCAGACCAGATAGTGAGTGTCTCACACTCCAGAAGAAGGCTTGACTCCGAGCGACTCGATCAACTCCAAGTCTGACCGGGATGCCAATCATGTGCGCCGAGTAGAGGAGCGCAGCAATAACGCCGTCACTTCGCTCAATATCGGGACTGCTTGCGATGGCATTGGCGATACGTTGCGGATCTCGTGTCTCAAGCTGTCTGTAAGGACCCAAGTGCAGATATATGCGCACATAAGCTAGCGACAGAAGAGAACTGGAAGTGAAGGGGATCGGTCCGTTCTCGTTGTTTGGGTCGAGGGTTGACTCTGGTGCTTGTTGCCAGCACGAAGTCCACGAGCGCAACCCTCGCTCGAGTTTCTCAACCTCTTCACTAGGAAGGACAGCCGAGTTGGTGACTGGAAGGCTCAGATCTCGCACGATGTGTATTCTCTGCAGTAGTCCATGGAGAAGGACATAGTTACCCAACGGCGTAGGAATCGGCAACAATGGCGCAGTGTCACTCTTGTTCTTAAGAAGTAATGATAGCGCTTCTCGGAAGAACAGCTGTGGCTCTTGAATCTCTTTTGTCGCAGCGCGCCATAACGCTGGTGTCGGAGCTTTCCATTCCTTCGTGGAGCACGGCAGGCGAAGACCGATCTCGTTACTACGGAGCGTTGGGTAGACGTTGTATGCGATGCTGTGAGTATGAAGGAATGAGAAGCCGATGAGCTTGGAGCGCCTGTTTGACTCTTGCTTGATCCACGTCTTCCACTCGTGCCACAATGAGTTGCCGTCACTTGGCTGATCTGATGGCGTTGGCGACGTGGTCTCATCGACGTCCTCAAGGCCAGAGTTTCGAAGGACCTGAGTGAGAATGCCTTGCAATATGAAGGACTCCTGGACCATTGGCGCTTTCGGTTCCCAAGTTGCAAAGCCCATGAGCGTGATCAAGGCCCTGATGGTCTCAACTGCCGAATCAGCCTCCGTATCGCCACGCCGACCATTTTGTGAATTGACATGAGTTATGGGAAGCGTTGAGAGGCTAAATGAGTTTGATTCCTTTCTCAGCCTTTCCATCAGCAGCGCTTTCCCGGCGAAGAACAACCTCCCCGAGACTCCCGACTCGAAGCAGTACTGCGCCCCAATAGCGGCGATGCCGAATATCAGCTCAGGCGAGTGGTCGTTGATCTGCCATGTCGGGATGTGGATGAATGGCATGTGCGTATGAAAGCCGCCGAAGAAAGAAGTCACGTAACGCGTGAGAGCGTGTCTCGATGGGACACAGAAAGCGGGGTCAAGGAGATGCGCGTGGTCAAGAATAGATGCTTTCAGCTTCGATCTCTGCTCTTCGGTGACCTTGAACGGTCGTGTTTCGGGGTCAATGGCCCTTGGATCTGTCTGTGTAAGCGACGACTTCGATCAAGGTCCGAAGCGAAGACTTACTGTCTGTGTCAGAGACATAATTGGATATCCGATTACCCGTAGGTGCAGACGGTAGCCATGAGCTGAAGGGTGTTCCAGCTCGGGTTGGAGCTCCTTGTCGAGGCGAAGTCTCTTCATCAGTGTCTTGTGTAAGGGCGGGATCGATGGGTGGTTCCTCATGTCTGTCAGGGTCGCCAAAGAAAGGGCTCCACTCGGCAGAGAGTCCAACACCGTCAAGGAAACTGGTGAACTCGCGGAAGTGAGTGTCAAAGTCGACGCCTTTCTGAGTCAGCTGTGTTCGTGCGAAACAAAGGTCTGAGGGGACTGACCGCTGTCGAGCATTTGTGGTGACAGAAAGTTGGGGACGAATTGGCCATCGTCTGCACTTGGTTGGTGTTGCACTTGTTCATCCGCTGCCTGGGGAACCGCAACAGGGAGCTGCATAGGCTGCTGTGTTCTCGCACAGAACCATGGATCAACACTTAGGCCAGAGAGTGACACAGCTGCAGCCAAGTCTGGGTCACCTATGCTGTCATTTCTCTGCTGTACTACAGTCACATTCCCTCGCGCAGGTTCAGGCGATGGCACGTCGCCCTCATGCTCAGCTAGCCTTTGATGACGCGTGAGCAAGTCACGTCTCGCAAACGACGCACCGCAATGACACAGAAACGGCTTCTCTTTGGTATCTACTCATGCACCCTCCCATTAGCCAGCTACCCTGTCTCGATCAGGTAGCGAGACTCACGTGTTCTGACGTGTCTCTCGAGATGCTCGGTTCTCTTGAAGGTGCGCCCGCAATGTGGGCACATGCGTATATTGACTCCAGCTCCATTGTAACCCACTCTTTGTCGCTTGTTTGGAGTCTCGTATGTGCCGATGTTGTCACCCATTCTGCAGCAGTGGCTCCAAGAGACGGAGAGGAATGGTGATAGAGGAGGCGAATGGAGTACCTGGGTTTATCATGGAGTCGTGGGTGGGGCAGGCTTGGAGTAGCGTCTGCTAGCGTTATCTTTGGCTGGAAGATAATCAACTAACAGAAATGGGCGAGAATAGCACTGTATCGCGTTAGTTGCATATCATCCTGGAAAAAGGCCGACTTGATCGAGATGGTTCGCAAACGCTCGAGATATTACAAAGAGATATTATCAGCTTCGGACTAAGACAAGGTGGGAGTTTGAAGGTCAAGGAGGAGTTTAGAAACTTGTAGTCATGTAAAGTACAACGAGCACACGCGGTCAATGATCAAATGTAATATGCATAGCAACAAAATACTGTCCCTTCTACAGACACCAAATACCGGCTTTACAGATGTGAAGATTCTCTAACACGTCGAACCTCATTCAGCACATCCTCCGTCTCCTCGACCGTAGACTTCCCCTCCTGCTCCCAATCAAAACTACTCTCCAGCGCCTTCGCAACGTTCAAAACCTTCTTCTCTTGCCAAAGGCCACCAACGATCTGCAACCCAACAGGCAACAGAACACTGGCATCATCAACAGCCTTTGACCAACCAACAGGAAGTGACAGAGCAGGGTTACCCGTGACGTTGAAGATGGCAGTGTTGTTCGTCATCCCGATGCTCGGCTCGAAGGACTTGAGCACAGACTCTCGTGAGCCGTGACGCGGTGCGACGAAGGGTGTCGTTGGCATGATGATGACGTCGTAGTCTCTGAACTTTGCTTCGTATGCGTCGCGTATTTGGCGACCGATGTTGACTGTCTTTGCGTAGAGACCGGGGAAATTGCGGGAGAGATAGATGCCGTTGATGACTGTATTTTTGGTGGAAGGGAAGAGTTTCTCGAATTCAGAAGATGTCCATGGAAGACGGGCTTGCTCGAACTCAGTCAAGTAGAGACCTCGACGCCCGTTGGCTTGGCCTAGGATGCCTGCCGAGCCCGAAATGCGTTGCTGGATTGTCCATATTGAAGGGCCTTCTTTGTGGAGGGGAATTGATACTTCCTCGACATTTGCACCGAGCGATTTGAGCCTATTGATGGTGTCGAAGAAAGTCTGCTTCACGCCTGGTTGTACCAGATCATTGTCGTAGCCTTCCTTCAGAACGCCAATTCGGAGACCCTTGACAGATGCACCGGCCAATGAATCCAGGTAGTTAAATGATCCGGGTGATGGTGCGCCAAGTGATCGGTCGTCGAGCCCATCGTAGCCTGCAATGGCATCGAGGCAAGCAGCGACTTCGTCCACCGTCCTGGCGAGTGGTCCAGCGTGGTCATCAATCTGATCGCCACTCGTGATGCCTGTATATGGGACCAGTCCATGTGTTGGCTTGAACCCGACACAACCGCACAGCGAGGCTGGTACACGGATGCTACCGCCTTGGTCTGTACCGATAGCAATGTCGGCCAGACCGCCCGTGACAAGAGCCGCGCCACCAGAGGTACTACCGCCAGCGGAATAACCAGCCTTGCGCGGGTTGTCGATTGTACCCTGCGCACTCGTGAAGGAGGATGTCGAGTTGCAGAAGTTTTCACACGTCGCTGTTCCCGTAATCACGGCACCAGCCTCGAGAACTCTGGTGACAACAGTCGCATCAGTCGACGGCGTCCAAGCGGGAAATGCATCGCTTCCAAAGAACTGCGGCACACCAGCAACAGCGATACAGTCTTTCAGACAAACAGACTTCCCCGCCAAAGCTGAGCGTGAGGACTTGTCGCCCTCGATGATGAAACGATGCGCCCAGGCATGGCCGTAGCTTTGCTCGTGTTCTTCCGGAAGGTGGATATTTTGACGAGGAAATCTCTCAATATCCGGGACAGGTTGATAGTCGGGAAGATTGGAGACACGTTCTGCGCAGTCGTGAACTGCTGCGAGGAGAAGCTGGTATTCTGAAGATTCTTCGGGGCGGATGGTGAGGTTGAGAGGGTCAAGCAGGGCCTCGACGTCGCCTGCCTGAACAGGGTTACCACTGGACAGAATATCAGTATCTTGTCTTGTTCTGTGAGTCTGGCTTGGAAGTCAACTTACGGTAGAATTTCTTTGAAGAAAACAGACATGGTTGCGGCGTCGATCGAGGCGGAATGGCGTGAGGGAGGTGTCGAAACGTACTAGCCAAGAGAATCACAGTCTAGAGACAAACTTATCAGTTTATCAACATAGATAAAGCAATGCCATCATTCCATTTCTAAAGACATTGATTGTTAATCTCAACGGTCAACCCGCTTTGTGGTCCACTCAAGCCGTTGGAGTATCTTGACCATGGCTGGAGACTTACCCCAAGATCCCTGTTGGGGTACTCCAACATCGTGACATAGCGGGTCTTGATGGGACAAGCTAGGGAAGGAAAGAAAACACAGAACCTCGATCCTAAATGACAAAAAGACTTAGGTAATATAGCCTAAGCTTAGGGGACTCTTTGCTAAGTTTATTTTGACACCCTAAATCAAGGTTCGGTGTTTTCTTGCCCCCTGAAGCCAGCGTAGTCCAGGCCGGGAGATAACGCGGCGATCGGCTCTGGAGGTAGACAGTGTTGATCTCGTTCTTCGAGGTTGAAACCGGAGAGCTTTTGTGAAACAACAGAAGTAATCGCAATGGAGGCCGACGCAGCATTGCCATCTCGGATGAGAGCGGCCTACATCGCAGAGGTGAGCATGGCTGCAAAGAATTAGCCACAATGGACGAGTGCTGACAATACCCAGTATAACAAACCGTATGCCTTGGGGGAGCGTTCATTACCCTCCATCAGAGACACAGACATTCTCGTGCGAGTTCACGCCGCTGGCTTCTGTCACTCAGACCTACAAGCATTGCAAGGCGAGTTCGAGAAACCAGCACCAATTGGTCTGATCCCATCTCATGAGATAGCTGGAGTCATTGCCAAACTGGGTGGCAGCTACCAAGGAGATCTCAAAGTCGGCGATCGTGTTGGCATCCTCAACTTCAAACATGCTTGCGGCTCGTGCGTAGGATGTCGCTTGACTGAAAGAAGAGGCGACGAGCTTGATCCCAGATTCTGCGATAACCGGGAAACAGCTGGTTTCTTGCATGACGGAGGGTTTGCGGAGTATGCGTCTGCTGATCCAGAGACAACCGTGAAACTACCGGATTCGATCTCCTTTGAGCAAGCGGCGCCACTCACTTGTGCGGGAGCAACAGTCTGGGGAAGTCTTGAGGGCGCCACAGCGGGAGTGGGTAAGGGAGAAACGGTTGCAATCGTGGGTATCGGTGGACTTGGGCACTTGGGAGTACAGTTCGCAAAAGCGCTCGGGTTCAAGGTCGTTGCGGTGGATAGTAGAGAGGCTGGTCGACAGTTAGCATCAGACGTGGAGAATTCTTCGTTGAGACCTGACCTTGTTGTCGACTCTTCCGACACCGCAGCCGCATCAAAAGCGATCTACGACTTCACAAACGGCGAAGGTGTTGCCGCAGCAGTAGTCTGCACGCCATCGTTGGAAGCGAATCGGTGGGCGCTCAATATCCTCAGGATCAAGGGGACGTTGGGAATACTCGGTCTTCCGCAGAACTCGTGGCAGTTCGACGCTGCCCCTATTGTGTTTCGGGAGTTGACCATCAAGGGGAGTTACGTGGCGGGGAGAGCTGCGACGGAGAGGATGATGAAGGTCGTGGAGGAGGCGGGTGTCAGATCGCATTTGACTGTATTGCCGTTCGAGAAGATTCCGGACATTGTTGATATTTATGAGGATGCGGCGTTCAAGGGAAGAATTGTTGTACAGATATGAGTAACGAAGACATTGAGACCAAAGAGACTTTCAGAAGTGATCAAATTGTACCTGCAAGGATTTAGTGCAACGTCTGCTGGAGAAGAAGCCTGAGTGGAAGATGGGTCTTGGTGGTAGGAGTTGAAGATGAATCATGTCACTCCACAGGCACCTTGTCACAACCACTCGACAGTCAATCACACACGTCCATTCATCTAGGTATGCAGGTCACAGTGACACTGTCCGTTTCTCTTTCTCAGTGCAAGAGCCCGCGTTCTTTTATATCTTGTAAACAAATGTCACGCTTGCTTGTTTCTTTGGCATCACGCAGACAACGATGTACGGTAAGAGACTCGTTCATGGACTCATTTATGTGAGCTAGATGTGTTATTTGCAGTTGAGACCTGTGACTGAGAGCTTATAATCACCACCCCCTTCATATACTCTGTTGCCTGGTCCTTCATCTTGGTGATCTCGCTGTACACGGCCTGTGAATAGACGTGGATGGCTCCGTGTCGGAGCCTCCACCTCCCACCTTGCCCTCCACGAAACTGCACCCTCCGGCGTGACAGCGTACCGAGCATACCTGTGTTTACGCAGTCCGGGCCGCTCCCCCAAACCCTCCCTCTGCTGCAATAGTTCAGGCGTTCCGATGTTACAAATGAAATGCTCCGGGTCTTACTACTGCCACCTGTTCAAAGCCCTAGCCATCTTTCAGCCAAACTGAACTTTTGAGAGTGACCGTCTTGGTACTTGGCGTGTGGGACCTTCTTCAGAGCTGCGACTCCCAACTCCCAAGACCCTTCCTGGTGCCGAACACATCTTCAAGTTCACAAAATCGTTGGTGCCATTGGTTGGTTGGCTGATGTTGCTTGAGAAGTGTTGTTTTGAGTTGATAGTCCCCACA